GAAAAATAGGCAGGATAATCGATGAGGATATCGAAATCAATCAATAGCGGCGCCTCTGTAAGCGCTTGAGGTGATAAGGTTCAAATCGATCCCTCCTCTCTTGTGCTCTTTTCCTTTTGTTTTCTGATGGCTCCGGTGGCCTCTTGATGTCTCCGCAGCTAACACTAGCGATCAATCCGCTCGTGATCCACCAGTCAATGCGTCGGCTCGGCCCCCATGTAATGGAGTCGACGGTCTAGCGGTATGGAAGAAAGGTTTGAACCTTTGACTGGCAAGACACGCGCGGAAGAAGAACGCTTTATGTACAGAAAAACCGCAGAAACAACAACAAGGGCCCGAGGGCCAACAAGAAAATAACAACAACTAGTGCAAAACTTGGAGCTGGGGGGATGCAAGATTTGACCCTCTCGTAGGGCTCGATTACTTGGCTGGATCGTTACTTGGGGGGAGGTCTGGTTCTCTTCTGGCCAGCTCGTTTCTACTCCCCGCGAGCGTCTTCTGCTCGCGGCTCCCCCTTATCCGCTTCTTTTATACCCTTCCGAGAGGGTCAAATCGGCGGCGTTTCCCGCCAACCCCGTATCCGTGATCTATGGGTGATTCCTCCGACAAATATGTAGAAAACTTTGATCTGCTGTTAATTATCTACATGTCAAATTTGCTTTCCTTTTACAAAGGTTTTTTTCGCTTTATTGGATGACAATTTACTTTGGAGTCTCAGTCAAAGCATATCGGCTGACTATTAGATCGTTCCATAAGTTGTAGTATCATTCACATCTTCATTTCGCTGAGAGGCGGTCGTTTTACCAAAATGCGTATAACAGAAAGGATGCTTTCCAAAATAAACTAATTAATTTCGATGAAAAGCTGCTGATCTGCTTGATTTTTCAGCTTTCAAAGAAGGATTTCTCAAGAGGCAAAAAGAAGCGTTTTCGGCACCTGCTTAATCTTTCTTCAGGAAAAAAGCGTTTTGCGCAATTTTTTTTAGCCAAATATGAAAAATGGCGCCTTCGCGTCGATATGAAGCAAAAATGAACCAAATTGAAAATTTCACAGCAAGGTGGCAGAAGGTTGTGCGCCACAACGAAGCATACATTATTGATCGAATTTTGATAGAATTTTGTCATTTCTTTGGTTTTGAAAAAGGTAGGAACTTATGGGACGACCTAATATTTCCACAATAAAGTGTTTGCATAAAAAATCAAAGATCTGTTATTCTTTTCTGAGAAAAGGGTGTCAGGATAAAGGCTGGCCTTGCCTTTACCTGATGTGTAGCGGGGTTACATGAGACTTACTATAATGTTTATTATACAAGTTATAAACAAAAGGGGAAGGGGAAAGGAGAAGAGGGCACCAGCTCCTGCCGGCGGGCGGAGGTCACTGCCAGAGGTTGGCTCTCATCGGCCAACCTCCTTCTCGAGCAGCTGTTGTGACTAGCTGCATCGACAAGGTGTACTTGTCGTTTTGTTTATTTCATGGAAATTAGCTTCACTAAACGCTTGAGAATCTGATAAGCCATGGGCACAATTTTACAGCGGCTTTGAAACATGAGAAGTGGAAAATTACAGTTACTAGATCCTAAAAAGAGACAAGTTGTCAGGAAAAACGTATTTTATTGAAGGTCCTGCTTGAAGGATTCTTACGGTCACCTATGGCCTCTGTAATAGGAGACATACACCCTCAGCACAACTCCAGTCTTCGCGGCATTCAGGTATTATCGCAAAAGGTGACGTTGAACCGTGCTAGCTATCAAGCTGATTCCCTTTTTGGCCATCTTTGCTTAGTATGGAATCATCTTCGAAGGTAGTCTTCCTCCGATAAGTTTTCTTTCGTATAAATAGTGATACACCAATAATGTGCAATATCATGTATTGGTTGTATTCAGTGGCGTACCCAGGATTTCTGTTCGGGGGGGGGGCAAAAAAAATTTTCTGAGGTGCGTGGTGTCAGCCACGCACTCCGAAAAAATTTTTGGTATGCTCCCTGAAATTTTGGCGGGTCCATAACCCCGAAAATTCCGAAAAAGGGGACGTGGCATCACCCACTCCAAAGTTTTTTTTATGAGGGTGAATTGAAATTTCAAATAATTTTTAAAATCACTACTATATACAAGCATGAATAAGTCACTTGCACACTTTTATAACTCAAAAGTAACTTTCAAAAACTTCGATCTTTTCCGGTTTTCATGGAGCTCTCTTCAATCTGCGAGTCCGTCCTCAAGAGAGCAACAAAGCATATAGGCTGTACTAGCATCGGTTCCGCGCTGGTATGCTTTGCGAGAACGCACGGTCGCATGCGACGTGCTCCGCGCGTAACAGAGTTCGCACTGTCACCCGCATCATCGTACGCTGCCGCAGGCGCGACGTCACAACCGATGCTGGTTGGTACAGCCTATATGTGAATTTCTTTCTCTTTGTTCTATCGTCCATCTCCACGAACAAATGAAGAAACTTTTTCAAAACTATTATTTTACGAGGATTTATGCTACGTAGTACTCATCTCGATATATTAGGTTGTCCCGAAAGTTTTGTCCGTTTCTTTCATCACTCACTAAAACTCACAGATCACCAACCCATGGACGACTTATGCACCATTTGACTCAGATTTTTATCCTCTTTCTTACAGCTGTATTTGCTCTCTGAACTACTCTGTCTTTGCGATGTTATCGCCTTGGCTTTTTGAGCAGAGAGTGACAACAAATCTTTCCTGAATTTTAACAATTTTTATCCTGATGATTTCAAAGAGCGCTGGTAACTTTTATGTAGAGCAAACTTTTGACTACATTGTACACATTTTAGATTACATGGACCACGTTTATCAAGTCCGTTATAATTATTTAATTAATGAAAACCGCGGCTTTCTGACTATGTTTACCAGGTAAAAGTGCCGAAAATTCCAAAAAGCTGCTTTTCTAAAGCAAGTCAGACTTGATTATGTTGCATAAATAATGTTTAGTAAGAATCATGTTTCAATTCGCAGAAACTTCAAGAGATTTTGTGTTGCCGCAGTTGCGCGTTTCATAACTTTGCCAAAACTGAGACCTCCAAAGAAATTTTTTGAAGCTTAAAGCAGCAGATTAGGAGAATCTAAAAATATATCCTTGTAGTCCGAGAATTGCTCTATATGATCCATACTTTAGCCATCCCAAAACTTTGAAATTAAATCTTCAAAAATTAGCCTAACTTCGAGCATATAAAATTGACAGATGGAGAATTTTGGCAATTATCAAAAAAAAGCATGCAAGATTATGGTTCGAAAATGCATCCATAAGAAGGAGAAGGAAAAGCTGCATCGAATGCATGTTGAAACTCATCCATATCTTCATTGTACCTGGTATTATAGTGGTTTGAAAAAACGGACAAAACTTTCGGGACAACCTAATATAATAACACTAGATGGCTTACCCGGCTCCGCCCGGCCCTGTCATTATTATATTCGTAATCAGCATGCTCGATTACCCCCCTGTGCCAACTCCCAGCCCCGTAGCTCAAATTTTGCAAAAAATCGATAAAATCGATATCGATCGATGACGAAAAGTAGCCTATGACACCCGCCGGGGCCCGAAGTGTATGTGTGCCAAGTTTGGTCCGGATCGGTTCAGAAATGGAATTTTCTATTCGGAACATACGTACACACAGACAGACAGACAGACAGACAAACAGACATTCAGCTTTATATATAAGATTAAAATAAATTCAGATCCGCAAATCTTCAGCTTAACACGTTGGCGAAATTTCTGCTCAAGGATACTTTTGAAAGCATGGATGTGACCATATTTTTCCGTTTCCTTGAAGAGGCGCAATGAAAGTCATTTGCTTTTTCTACTTACCGCCGAAAACGGAAACAATCAAAGGCCCTGCAATAACTTGCGATCAAAGATTTTTTACGTCGCAGAAGTACAGCAAACAACCGTGCAAGTCTACAATTTTTTTTACTTCGAAGATTTTTGAAAGTCTTGTTTTAGCATTTTAGTGCGACTTTTTTTCGAAAATGCTACTCTCATGAGACTCCTAGAATAAAAAAATCACAAATTTTTAATTCTCTTGAGAAAAAAACTTTGGAACTGGATCTCTCTTTCTTTAGAGCACGGTTTTCCAGGAGACGAATTCCTAAGAAACAAAAGTACATATAAGAAACTAGAAGAAGGCTTGAGATGTTGTATAAAGCTGATCTGTAAAAATTCTCCTCTTGTTGACCAGCTCTACGTGTGTTGAGCACAAAAAACAAAAGCGCGTCAAAATATGAAGTGGACAACATAGATTAAACCTTCAAACACCATGTATAGCAAGAGAGGGGCCTAGCGCATTCCATATTGAAAATTTGGAGATTTTCTTGATTCTAGCAGAAAAAAAAATATCAGAAGAGCATATTCTGCTCTCTCAAAAAGAGCACTTTGGTAGATGTTTTCGAATTAATTGCAAACAATTTTTGTGAAAATTTCAGTCGATTTCGCGGTTAGTACTGCTGCTCATTCGACCATTGGCTACATAATGAGTAGAGTTTGTGCTATTCCACACAGTCTGGATCAAGTTATGGTTCCACAAAGTGATTTCAAAAATGAATGTTTGGCAACATTCAGCTTAAAAAATTTCTTTCCTAATTGCTGCGATAGTTTTTAGGGTATACATAGCAGTGCCAAGGATTTTTAGATTGTAACACAGTTTATTGCACTCGCAATGATTAAATCTAGATTACGGTGATCCGAAGACGAAATTAGAAACGGTCAGAATGTTTAAAACAACCAACGTGTCTTACGAGCAAGGGTTTTTATGTCATAGATTGGCAAAGACTGTGAAACCATAGATCGTGCTCAAAATTCATCTTTCAAACAAAGCATCGTGCACAACCACTACAGCGTCACTTCTACAGAATTCGTAATCTTTCAAAACAAGGCACAATTCCTGTACCTACATACCTTGACACATGATGGAATGCAATCTCCATCCTAGTGCCAACAGCGACGGTCAAGACAGAAGACACCACATTTCTGCTTATTTATTTGATTTTCCGAGCAAAAGCAAAATCAACTGTATTCATATAAACTCTAATCAATAACAACAAAAATCAGTCCTCCTTAGGTGACAGCGAGAATAAAACCTCTACACAACTTTGCGGAATGTAATATTAAGATTCTGCATAGAATTCTTTTAATCTCAAAATCAGCCGGTCCAAAGAAGTGTTCAGTATTTTTTGACAGCTTCAACAATATGGCGAGCAGAAATGCCAAACATATCGAGCAGTTCATCGGGTTTACCAGAACGAGGAACATCATTAACGCATAGAGATTTGACGCGAATGCCATGCTTAGCGACACAAGCGGCCACCTAGAACATTTTGATCAGAAAGATGATTGAAAGAGAAGATTTGCACTTACTGCTTCTCCAATTCCTCCAGCTGGATAATGATCCTCAACCGTAAGGATCCTGCCTCCCGTCCGTTGTGCGTGTTTGACAATGGTAGCCTCATCCAAAGGTTTGATAGTGAACGGATCGATAATACAGCAATGCAAACCTGATATAGAAAACATAATCCTAGTAAGATCGCAACGAACAAAACATTTAACCCACCCTCTTTCTCAAGCTGATCAGCAGCTTTCATGATTTCGTAAATGGTCACACCGGCACCAATCAAAAGCATTTTATCGTTAGGTGACTCTTTTAGCACCTAGAACTCAAGTTCATTGATAAGTCATAAATTAACTTTATAGGGAGAATTGTCTCAAGCTGCACCTTAGCTTGTCCAACAGCGAACAGTTCATTGTTATCGTAGAGCACAGGAAGAGCAGGGCGACCAGTACGAATGAAAACGATGCCCTTTATATTGGCTGCTAGTTCAGTAGCCCTCTCAGCCGCTACTGCGTCAGTCGGATAAAATACTGTAGATCCGGGCAAAGTTCGGAACAAAGCAAGATCCTCAAAAGCAACTTTACAATAAAAGGATATTGTAGACAAACTGAACCATGAGTCCTACGATCGTGATTCTAAAAATTTCTCTCAAATCAACATTCCCACTGAGAATTGATTGAAGAGACAATCCCCTACTGAACAATGACTACAGCAACAATCCGGCCTACACTAATCCTCGGATAATCAAAGATTGATGATAAGCTCCAAATTTGAAAAAAGAGATATAGGAGGTCATACCTCGAGTGCCATTTGACTTGGACCATCTTCACCAATTGAGACACCAACGTGCGAACCGGCACATTTTAGATTTGCAAACGATACAGCAGCCATACGAATCTGATCGCATGCTCGAGTGAAGAAAGCAGCGAATGTGCTAGAAGCAAATCAAACAAAGGCTTCCGGTTATACACATTTCTAGTACTTGGAACTCGCACAAAAAATCCGCAAGATGTTTGAAAAGCAATAAATATCAGGACTTACCTAGTGAACGGAATCGTTCTGTCTCTACACTGAGCACCAACTGCTACACCGACAAGATTCTGTTCAGCAATAAAACACTCGATGAATTGGTTAGGATGTTTCTGAAATGGCAATGTTTGAGTGAACATGAATATTATGACGTAAAAATAACCTTCATCAGTTTTTCAGAATATGTGGAATTTTTTGTATCACCATCTAAGCCAATAATACGTGGACTTGCATCTCCAAGTTTAGCCAAAGCAGTACCATAGGCGGCCCTTGTGGCTACCTAATAACAAGCAATTTTGAAAATGTGAATAGGAAATCTCGACATACTTTGTCGCCCTTCTTGTACTGAGGAGGAGCCATTTTGATGGAACCAACGTGCAAGTCGACCTTGGGAGCATCATCAGTTGGCTTTTGAGCAACAAGCTTGCCTTTTTGACTTCCATGCAAACGAGCTTTTATAGGATTGACCTGTAATGAACCATAGCATGTGTTATCTGGAAGGTTTACTTTGGTCAAACCTTTTCTTCTGGAACTGGTTTTCCATGCCAATCTAGCTGATCAGCTACACCTTCTATTCCTTGTCCTTTTAATGTCTTTGCAATGATGGCAGTCGGCTTTCCCTAGGGGTCAAGATCTATCCTAGTGATCTGAAGAAAGCATGTCTTCTATCTTACCTTGGTGTTCCTGGCTGTCTCAAATGCTTTTATAAGTTCATCAAAGTTATGCCCATCTACTACAATTGCGTTAAAACCAAAGGCAGCATACCTAGCCTAAATCGCATGGTTGAAGCGCATTTGCAAAATCAAATTGTTTGATCAGAACAAACCTGATACATTTCAACATGATGTCCCAAAGCAGTTTCTTGCGATTGACCCAAGCGATTACAATCAACGATGGCAACCAGATTATCAAGTTTGTAATATGAGGAGAATGCTAAATGAAAACATTCATTCTTCATCATGAGGGTTGAAGCAAGCCTAAGCAAGTCCAGCATCTAAGCTTCACAGCAACACAGCGGCAATGGCGAAAACCTGAAGGTGCGACAGAGGAGACTACGTTCATCAACATGGGCTTTGAGAGCGCTAAGTCCGAAATGGAGAATCAAACGAGAACTATCGAAAAGTCGATTTTCATTCTGGATTAATTTCACATTATACAGTCTGTCCCCTATCGGGATCGAACCGTTGGTCAGATTTGCGCGCATGCATCGCAACTACTTTGCGCTGCCTTGCATAGGTATGCACCAGACTGAGCGACTATTTTGTTCAGCTCCAGAAGGCGCGCAGAATTATCATTAAATTTGCGCAGGACCGCGTAAAATTAATTAATTCTGCGCGCGTTCTGCAGCTGAATAAAATAGTCGCTTAGTCTGGCGCCTACCATACGCGTGAGAGTACTGGAGAGAGTTATGGTATTGAAGAGAGCAGGCAAGCAGGCCGTAAGCGTAGACCCTTGTGATGCGAACTCCCGCCATGCCAATTTTGGCCTGACTGAGATTGAAGCAGACTGTACTATGAAACCTATAAAAGCTTCTCACACCATCTGAATGAGTGGATTTATCAGTGCCACCTGTTTGCTTTGCATGAATCTTTGCAAAAAAGAGGCAGCCAACTCCCAACCCTCATTTATTTAACACATTCAAACCGCCAGTTCCAATTTAAGCTTTTCCTTGGAAGTTCTACTGGTTCAAGTAACATTTTTTCGGAAGCCCGCGGGAATCGCAACTGACGATTATTTTGCCCGGATTCAAAGTTTTTTCGTGATGTTAGGCTTACCGAGAAACAACCGGATCAAGTCTACTAGGTTCAGCAAATATCACCAAAGTAGCCTACTGACGTCTGTTATTCCCAAAACAGCAAAAGCCAGAAAAGAGAAGATCGAAAAGCGTCACTCACAAGCAGCTTCCCAAACTGCTCCTTCAGCATTCTCTCCATCTCCCATCAAACAAAAAACGCGGTAGCTGGCCTGAAATGACATGAATCAGAACTATATGTAACAGAAGAAATCAATCTTGTACCTTGTCTATATATTTTCCTACGTATGCCATACCAGCAGCACACGATAATCCCTGTCCAAGGGAGCCTGTTGCAACATCGATGAAACTGAGACGCTGAAGTGAACATGGTTGAGAATTACAAATTTTTTAGCTGCTACAACACAATAAGTTTGATGAAACAGGCCAGTATTACGCAAGTGAGCTTAACGCCGAATTGATTTCCTTTTCGGAAACAGCTGCGATGCGAAACCCGCATCATTATCCCCACCCTAGAGATCTGTGCGATCAGAGCGCTCGTCGATCTGATAAAGTCCTATATAAAACTCAGGAGCGTAAAGTTATGCAAACGCAATTCTGCACCGTCGGCCTTCTTCACCTAATCAGACATAGCGTTGTGTTTGGCGACAAAAGGTTAACTAAACTTTGATTGAACTGGCTTGGCGGCTGGAAGGTGGGGCTTTGTAACCTAGATAAGGCAGCTCGCGCCCGCGACACAGTCTGCGTCTCTTCCGCGCGCGTGCTCTCTGACTATTAACTAGTCTTAATTAGGTCACGAAGCCCCGTCTTCCAGCCATCAAGTCAGCTGAATCAAAGGGTACAAAAGTTTACATTACGAAGCTTATAACCTAAGGTGTAAGAAAAATACGATGAAAAATGTATGTTAAACTGATGGAGTTTCTTTGCCAAAGCTTCAAGCGGTCAAAATTTGAGTTGAATAAACGTGTTCTCACCGGAGTCGGATGTCCTTCAACGTCAGATGTGATCTTACGTAGTGACATCACTTGATCTCTAGAAAGAAGACCGGCTTCCTCCCATGCTGCATAGAGGATAGGGCAAGCATGACCCTGCAAATTCCATAACCTCGCCACGTTTACACAACTATTTCTCATTCTTCCACATGACAATTTTCTGACACCCATCCAATAGTGGTTACAAGTTTGTCTATAAATCCATAAATGTTGCGATAATTAGTTCATGAACGAATTTAATTGCCATAAATTTTTTGTGTCACGTAATAGGAACAACATCATCACACCATACACCTCAGTCTAGCGAGAAAACGTCCAATGTGTCTTCTCTTCAAATTACGACAGGCACACAGTTTTGGGCGAGCCGTCGCACGCGTAGACTTAACTCTGTTGCGCGCAGCAGAGATATTTCGTGTTTTGAAAAGTACACGGAGAGCTATTGAAACGCGCTTGCTAAGAAAGAGAAAGAAGCCGGCAGCTTCCGCAGTAACGCCTTGCCTCTCCGTGCTAATACGTCTACAACAACTGATGTCGCACTATTTATTTACTGTTATTTCAATACTCCTCACCCCCTCCCCTTTGTCTCGCATGAAGATGCAAAATATAAGGCTGATTTATTCATCTTATCAACGACCTTATCAAAACGATGAATAAAGACCGGCAGCTTCGATACGAGAATGGAACTAAATAGCAAGTGTCATAGTTAGGAACAGCATGACAATTAATTCAGACGAAAGTCAACAGAAGACGATATTTGGTTTTACCGTAGACTAGATTAGAAAGTCTGGTTATCATTTCTCACCTTCGAAAGGACAAAACGATCGGCGCTGGCATTTTTTGGATCCTTAGCGTCATACTTCATTTCATGGAAGAACAACGTCGCGACGATATCGGCTGAAGAGCGAGAAAGAAAACTAGGAACTTCCAATCACGATATAATCCAGGATATAATTTATCCTGATTCAGAATATAAATTACCTGCAGATGTGGATGATGATGGATGCCCACTTTTAGCTGCGCAAGTCATCTCAATCGCTGAGATACGCATGCGATTTGCGCAGTCTTCGAGATCATTGCGAAGCTCGGCAGTAATAGACATTCTGGTTACCTTAACAGAAAACTTTTCCTTATATATCTACTGCAGTATCAGATACGATGAAGCATATAAGGCTTTGGCCACACTTTGCCAGTATTGCCGGTGTTGAAAGTGTCGCCGGTGTTGATAGTGTTGCCGGTGTTGAAAGTGTTGAATGGAGATCATCAGTCTAGCAGTTTCATTCTTTCTCGAACGATCTCACCGGCTGGTGAATACGTTGGAAATGGAATTGGGGAATGAGAAATGAAACTGAAATGAGACGGGGAAGACTTTCGCATGCAAAAGATCCCCAAACAATTTTTTTGGAAAGTGGACGGCTTGTCTGGACTAGGCAATCATGACTTATAATAAGCGGCTTAATCTGAAGTTGTGTGGAGTTTGTCCGTTACGAAATTACAGTGAGGAATGATTTACGATACTAACATCATGTGAGGTTAAGATAGCGAGTGTGGTTCATTTTTAACTACAGCTCACGTTGCAATAAACCGAACAATGATTTGAGAGACAAGCTCTCAAAAAGTGAGTTTACCACGGTTCACGATGCCAGTGCGAACCTCTGCGAAGCAGAGGTGAAGCACTGGTCTCCAATATTTGAAAAAGCTGAAGTCTGAGTAGTAATGTGTTTTAGTTCGAATCCTGCCGCGCTTGCGATTAGTGAGTGAAGGATCTAAGTGAGGTCTGCAGCGTTTTCAAATATTGGAGATTGCCTATTCCAGACAAGCCATCCACTTTCCAAAAAGTTTGTTTGAGGATCTTTTGCATGCGAAAATCTTCCCCATCTCATTTCAATTTCATTTCTCATTCCCCAATTCCATTTCCAACGTATTCACAAACCGGTGAGATCGTTCGAGAAAGAATGAAACTGCTAGACTGATGATCATTCAACACTTTCAACACTGGCAACACTTTCAACACCGGTAACACTTTCAACACTTTCAACACCGGCAACACTGGCAAAGTATGGTTAAAGCCTAAATGGGATGGAGGAAAGGATAAGTTTAGAAAGACGACACATGGGAGGATGCTTATCATCATTAGATTCCTAACGTGACGCGAAACACTGCACTCAGGAATGGAAAGTGGGAGGCATTATGCAGTAAATAACTTCAAGCCACACTGCGGTGAAGTACGGGAGCTGCACGTTTCATGACTGTCAACAGGTAAATTTTGTCAGCTAGTCAAGATATTTATTCTGAACAGCATAATTAGAGAGGATTATACAAACTGGTTGCGGGTACACTTGTCTGCATAGATGAATAAAGCGACCAGTATTAGAGATCTAATCGGAAATCTTTCGAGTGCAGCTATGCCGCACAATAGATTGAATTTTTCATACATGCTATAAGACTGTATTATAGATCCCAACTGGTCATCGACTTGGAACAGTAGTAAAACCAGGCGTAGAGGGATTGCGCAGCTGCTGTGACTGCACAAACTTCGCTAAAAATGTCTCGCTGAGGTTGTCCTTCAGAAAGGATGGAAATCAAGTGGTGCGCACTTGCATATGCTGAAACTGGGAATTCAAAAAAGTACTCAAAGTTGAAGATAATGAACCAGTCAAGATCAAAGTTGGAATTTCTATGTTTTCGAGGTTGTTCTTCTGCATAGCTATGATTGTTCGCAAAACATAACATAATCATGAGGCGTCTCCGAATCAGTGATAGTCAACTAGTCATGACTACATAAGATGTAGGTTAGAACCTTAATGCGCCTGCGGCATTCTGCTCGAAGGAAACCTTTATGAGGTCATAACCTTGCAACGCGGAAGAGCGAAAACATGTAATCGAGTACATATACCGTATTCAAGTACAGGCAAGTCTCTAGTTTTATCCCACTGATGTAAGTTTGAGAACAGGCGTCTCCAGTTCAAACCGCTAAATTCTGATGTTTAAAGTTTGTTCGTAATTGTGTCCTGGCCTTTTCAAAACAGACTATGTTGAAATGAAATGGAGGACCTCGAAAACATAGAAATTCCAATTTTGATCGTGACTGGTTCATTATGATTACTGAACATCAACTTTGAGTACTTTTTTGAATTCCCAGTTTCAGCATATGCAAGTGCGCACCACTTGATTTCCATCCTTTCTGAAGGACAACCTCAGCGAGACATTTTTAGCGAAGTTTGTGCAGTCACAGCAGCTGCGCAATCCCTCTACGCCTGGTTTTGACTACTGTTCCAAGTCGATGACCAGTTGGGATCTATAATACAGTTGCTATAAGACTCTAGTTTCAAAGATGAACCGGCAGACAAAAACTATAAATTTTGACAAGTAATAAGAGATTGATGAAGAAATATTTATTGCTGCATGGCAATGAACAAGACTCTGCCCGTGACCGTTGTTTGATCACACAGGGCCATAGTGCATTTTGCGGGATAGCGGTCGAAAACCATCAAGAAAAATGCCTCGCAAGTATTGCAACATTCTAGTAACAAACAATAGTGACGTGACCTATGGTGCGCAGTGAGAAAGACGTACTTTTTATACTTGAGTGGCTGACGAGAGCAACCATCCACTGGAAGGAATAACAGGAATGACACGTAATCAAATTTAGGATGTTAACTCGATTTCGACTATCACGTTTGTCCGCTGGTACGGAAATGAGGTTTATGAATTACTGAAGCAGAATCTAACCAAATTACTCTTAAAGGCTATTCGTTGCAAAGACTTTTACTAGCAATCTAATCGAGTTGAAGAGCAGATTCGATAAGTTGAAAGCTCGCGGTGCAATTGCACATTGCACCCAAGACACGCAAACGCCGTATACAATCTTATCCGAGTATCCGGAAAATCCAAGCATTATGTTTTTCAAATGAAAAGGGACTTTGCAAAGCAACGAAAGGACTCTACCATTATCTCGAGAATGGCCTACTGAAATTGTCGTCTACTCCAAGAGTAGGACTCGAAACCGCTCTGCACATCTCTAGACTATCTCGAACTTGTTCTTCCCTCTTTCTGCAGAAAGAAAGAAGAACTTAACTTAAAAAGAACTCATGAGTCGAAAATAATTCTGTATATCATTTAGTTGAGATACATGTATGAATATTAGCTAAAGATGAAGTTTGTTCAGGCATCATGTACATAGCGTACATATGTGCATGTATCTATATACCTACATGCGTCAAAAAATGATACTTACAAATGTTTCTGACTTCTAATTGCTGAAAAATCCAGTACGTCTTTACGTCAACGAACTTTGAGGTCAAAATACTTTAGAGAGCGTACAGAGGTTGTTTTTATCTCAAAGTCTGTCAGCGAGTGTGAAATGAGCTCATGCTGAGATCAAGACAGGACTAATCGAACACACAAAATGGACAATTGTGGAAAAATATATTTCAGTAGTTAACAAATGCATATTGATTTGAGCGCCTGAAGTGCAGCAGGAGATCATTATTTCTCATAACTTCCCAACAAGGCCAGTGTTTCTTGCGCTCTTATCGCGCTCATCCCTTCGCAATATGCTCGTCATTGGTTGACCTTGACAAGATGGTCTTGATAAGCTGCACCAGTAATCGCCCTTATCATTGGAATCCTCTTTCAACAAACAAAAGTCCAGTAAAAGTTCTCAAAGGTGCTCAAAATGAGACGTTCATAGGTCGCCCTTGTTTATAAAAATGCAAACATGTTTTGCTAGCAAACGAAAATGCAAGTAGAATTCTTTTTGCATGCAATCATGCAGGAATAATCGCAGATGATAGACTCTGCTAATTGCAGATTTTCTCCTGTTAGAAAGGATCGATAATATGCATGCGAGCAATTCTGACAAACAGTGACCAAAAAGGATGCTCCAAGCGGTGCTCCATTGTTATATACAGTATCAATTTAACAGTCGCCTTGTGTAATCGCACTACTTTTTAAAATTTGCATTGACGAGTGCAGATTTAGAGACAGCGTCCAGGCAATCTGGACCTATGGGGACCTCACTTGGAGGGTAATCTTGGGGTTCTAACTAAAACACTGCCCAAGCGGCAGCTCAAATGATGAGCTCACAGTTGAGATATTCGCCTCCAAACTGAACCCCGGGATCGTATTTGCATGGATTCATGGCGCGATACATCGGTCTCGCGCGTAGACCCACGCGTGTCGCGCCATGAGTCCATGCGAATACGATCCCGGGGTCCAGTTTGGAGGCGAATACCTCAACTGTGAGTTCACCATCTGAGCTGCCGATTGGGCAGTGTCTTAGTTAGGTCCCAGAATTTGCACATCAGACGTAATGTTTTCTCGATCATAGTGAATGTAACGCTCGCACTATTCACTATCTGCAAATCGGAGAAAAAGACGGTTGGCATGGGACAAATGTACAAAGATATTTGAAGAGGCAGTGTGACTAGAACGATTTCTTTCGTGTCCAACTCAAAACTTCAGTACAGTGCTACCGAAAACTAGGAAATTAGTAGAGTTTCAGCTGAGAAGTGGTTTTGAAATATTTCATGCTAAGTTTGATTGCTTTTAACAAGAAAAAAGCGATCCCAAATTTACTGTTGGTGGTATTTTATTGACTTTGTGACCTGCTCGCAATTTTGAACAAAAGCTGTATTGTAACCGTAAGGCAGGTGCTATACTCCTCGAGGAGTATAGCATGGCGACGGGCGATCGCCCGTCGTAGCGACTGGCGATCGCCAATATCGGCGACAAAAATCGCTGGTTTTGCACGTATTTGATGCATATCGATCGTCGCCATGCTATACTCCTCGAGGAGTATAGAACCTGCCTAACCTTGTTACATGAACAGGAGGAATGCAGTTTGCTGATTATCGCGAACGACTATGGATCATAGGATGAAAGAAGTTCATGAAGGTAGCCGCGTGATGAAGGTTATGGCGACAAGAACATATTGGCGTCCCCAGAATGTTCGCATATGAACCATCTACTTGGCTGCTTTTCGATCGTTCTAACACGTTAAATCCAGCAAATTTAATGCGCTTATTCGAAGTTGACAGTTGAAGTGATTGAAAGACAGCCACGTTGATGGTTCATATGGGACAATTCTGGGGGATGCACCATACAATCCGATGACTAGCGAGGAAATGCAAAGTTTCAGCAACAAACACACCGCTGATCGAAGGATGTTCGTAAGTCGAAACATCGATTTGCCGAGATGTACGTTAAGGACGAGATTGGAACGCAGAGCCGAGCAGCAGAAAGAGGAACACACAAGAGACACGTTCGGATCAGAGAACGATCAAAGCTGCCAACCGCTGCTGGGTTTTTTCAACGCTGTGCAGCTCCATGCTAGTAGTAATTTATCATGAAGGTGGTTCACCCCCACCCATAGTAATGCCAGTGATAAGCTCTCAAGAGAGATGATGGGTTCGGAGACGCAAAGCTGCAAGACAGTCGAGGAAGCGCGAGCAAACCGAACAATGGCGATGGCGCGATCGTGCGGAAGGTCGCTGCGGTCGGCACGTTGATCGGCATTTCAAACAGCGACCAGCGCCGAAAAAACGTCTCGCTTCGCGAAAAACCGCGCGCACGCAGCAAAAAGCTGTATCGTGGAGGTTGGTTCAATAAATTAGCCGCCGACCAGAAACCAAAGCGACCGATTTGAGAATGTGTCACGTTCTTCCGCACTTCCCATAATCTTTTGATCCGTTTCGAGCGAAATCGAATCCCCTACAAAAAAATAGTACACAAAGACCAGAATTCATAATAGCAACGTTTCAAGCATGAACGTGTCCCGGACTATCAGATGCACAAACTATTTTCAGTTGATCATGGGTACAACAAGAATTCACTACAGCTTATACATCTCGCATTTCAGTGATCTTAAATTAGCGATTTTAATGATTCCTTCAAACGTTATAGTCCCTACCATGTTTGTTGCTACTGTGCTCCGTTTCTGACATAGTATGTCATTTAGGGCTAACATGTTGGCAACATGCAGCAACAGGTTTCCCTTCAAGCCAACATGTTGTTGCTAACATGTTGCTGCATGTTACCGACATATTCCATGCGTGCTGCAGGTCAGCAACGCAAAGCAGAGGTATTGGGTTGTCCCAAAAGTAAACTGTATTTCTAAATAAATCAAGCTGTTTTTGCTTTCCAAGTAGGGTATCATTTGTAGAGCAGATCAAGCTCTACATGATGACCACCAAGGGTCCGCCTAAGTCGTATTCCATGTAAAGTTTGGAGCGAAAATCGAAAAAAAAGTTCATCACCTGAAAACTGGATTTTTGCGAAGGAAATTCCTAAGGACCTCAGACTTGGTCATTATACAGCAGACGCAGTAGTACTCAAATATGCTTTTACTGCGTTTTTTCGGCATTTAGAAAGCGAGAAAAAAGGTAGAATAAAGATGGGAAACTGCGCTCCCGGCCCCTCCCATATTTGTACACTACAATCTTAGTAAGCGTAACCTCAAATTCTTACCTCTCTTTGTGCTTTGTTAAATATCCAGTTTAACATTGAAAACCCCAATAAGTAAATTTTTGCATTCCGAGCCACTTTAATTTCTCAAATTTGAGCCCCGGAAAAATCCACCGATACATTTTTGGGTACCTACTATGTGTGTACTGTAATGATCAAGTAAGAGGTCCGTAGGAGTTCTCAGGAAGGAGATCCGATTGTATGATAGTTAAAAACTTCTGATTTTGGATCCAAATACCTGGATCACGACTTAGACGGGTCTTTGGTGGTCATTTTGTAGAACTTGCTTCGCTCTATCGAATGTAATTTTGAGTCTGCTAAGAAAGCAAAAGCAGTTTGATTTATTTAGAAGTACGGTTTACTTTTGGGACAACCTAATAGGGTGTCTCAAAAAATGTTGACACTGTTTGACCGTTAACTCCCTTGTTTCCATGTTTTTCGCCGAGCTTGAGACACCATTCTATAGAGCGAGGTCTAACTTAGATCTACAGTAGGAGCAAATCATCAATCACTCTTCATTACTGTAGGATTACGGTAGGAACTTCGACAAGGAATTTAGGCCATTGGAGGCCATATTCTGCCTCGAAACAAAACCAAACAAGCCAAAAACTCATACTATGGTAAAAAAAGCCGATGATTTCGAATATGAAATTCCCACTTTACTGTGATGCTTCTTTCCAAGGTTATCCCAGGTAAGTAATAACTGAATTTCCAGCATTTGTCAGAAATGTGATTACATCGTCAAAAAGCAAAAAACACTCGTAAAAATTGTGTAGTGGAATCAGCGAGAAAAACCCTAGTACACGATTTTTCAGATTTTTTGAAAAAAATTTTGTCAAATGGCATATTTCACAATGGATATCCACATGCGAGAAGTTCACACCGTAATCCTACAGTAACGAAGGGGGATCGGAGTTTTGCTTCACACTGTAAATCTAATTGTAAGTTGAATCCCGCTCTATAGAATAGTGTCTCAAGCTCGACGAAAGGCATGAAAGCAAGGAAGTTATCAACGATCAAACAGTGTTAGTTTTTTTGGGACACCCTGTATATTGCAGTAATCAAGCAGCATAGCAGCAATAACAACAGGGTAAGTAATAGGAACAGTCAAGCAACTATATTCTGAAAAACGAGTACACAACCTTATGACTCTACACAGACTACGATCTTGTGCTCCTTAAATGTGTGTGCAAAAAAGTCTACTTCAAGGAAAGTCTTTCTTTTCTTTCGGTTTCTGAAGAAAGCGGAACATTGTCCTTCATAATTCATTCTGGATTTTTTCACTGTCGGAAAACACGAGAAACCTTACTATTTCCTACTACCAAATGTCCTAAATCTAGCCTTTGTGCAGACAACGAATGTTCTGCTACGGTTTCAAGCCTATCGTGGGCCAGAAAGAAGCAATGACTGTGTAATCTTGCATTCACAACAAAATCTTTGGAGCTCCGGTTCAGTTTCTTGTTTTTCGCGGAACAGTATCTTGAAGGGTCACTTCTCGTAGGGAAAGCATACGCTAGCAATTAGCAGAAGAGCTCTTTTTTTTCTGAAAACATTCTAACAATAAGAAGGTTGTGCTTTCTTAGTTTGTAGAATACCTGGTGCGAATATCTCGATTATTTGAATGCCTATATTTACTTTCAAATTATTGTTACGGCTTACACTACATTTTTTTCATATGCTAAAAATGTTTAAAGTATCTCTAAATTTTTTGCATAAAGGGTTCCAGGGACGCTGCAGATCTTAAGGTTTTATAGATCTACGTAGCATGATCTGAAATATATCAGCGTTAGAAATATTGAGAAAACTGACATTGATACCAGTGAAAATTTGCGACCACCACAGCGATAGCTTAGTTTGTTTGCATTGAATTAATCTGCCAATATCGATCTTTTTCAGTTCTGAACGAACTATGCTCAATTAGCAACAGTACGTGCGTATAATAATGATCTGGATTTTCTGAATCATGAACCGAAAGGGAAGCGTGCAATATGCGAAAATTCACGAAGGCATCGTAGGTGTTGCATCACACGTTTCTACAAATGGGCAGTGCCATCGAATGATCGAACGAGCGCAATGGTCGAGATAAGACGAGCCTTTCAGGGACAAAGTTAGCAGACGAACCTTCCGTGGATTCTGCATAGATAGCGATGGAGAAACCATGGACGACATTTGCCTATTGACAGCATATCTAGTACGTTTGCAAAATTGGGGGCATTTGGCTGCCTTGCAGCTGCACCATGGTAAAAAAAGTAATCCTTTATTAAAGCAGGTGCTCAAAACATTTTGTAAAAGAGGCCTGTTCAGAATTTCAAAAAACCTTGATTCAAACGTATAAAAATTGGAAGGCTCACAGTAGTAAAAGGAGGCACAAGTGCTTTTTCTGGATTAACAACTAGGTTGTATCGCGGATAAAAGAAAAAAGCAATTTTTAGCAAAATGAAATAGTTAAAAAAAACTATTTTTTTTGTTTTTCGCGCACCATAAGTATACTACTAGCTCTGCCAAGCTTTCCTAGAAAATTCAAAAATTTCTCTGCAATCACTACCAGTGAGCAAACAGGGATTTCAAGCTTGTAAATTCCAGCGCCCCTCCCCTCGCGAAATTTTTGCGAGTGGCCCGCATGAGTTGAAAAGTGTGCAAATGAGTCGCTTCCATGTAAACAAAAAGAATAAAAGTTTGAAGTTTTTCGAAAATACATACTAGCATTGCATTAGGTCCTCTCAAAAGATTTTTTTCCAATTTTGACTTTTTCGTGCAGTAAGCCATATGCTTCTCAATTTTGATTGGGATGCAGGGTACCGTTCGACAGAGCAAAGCACTCTGGACATGTATTAGTACGCATCACCTACAGTGCACATTGAATTACAGTCGAATCGTTTCGTAAAATCATGTGTGACATTGCACACACCGTACACCTTTGGCGTTCCCATCCTGGATTCTTAGAGGAGGCAACCCTTTATGCAAGTGTTTTCAAAGTGTTTTCAACGTTTTCTTTCGTTTTTAGGTACAGTTCACCTCAAAGTGATGTAAGCGATAGCAATCGGTCAATCTTCTGCGTTTTGCGATTGCAAAACCAGATGAGGACGCCAAAGGTTTACAACCGTAAATTCTCAGTTTCTACACGCACTACCTTTCGAAAAGTACCAAATTTAGCTTTTCTTGCCAGCTCTTTTAAGTCAAAATTGTTACTTCTCATGAACTAGAGCTTGTAGAAAGCTGAATACTGCAGTCTACATCGAAAGGCTTGTGGTATATGTTCACTTATGTAACACCATAGTGTCCCTTTTTCAAAAGCTTGAAAATTCAGTTTTCTTTCTGGGTTTCTAACCGGAGACGACCCCCCTATCCCCCCCCCCCCCGCTTCCTTCCTGCATCATCGTTTGCATGCGGAGGGTATGACATAAAGGCTGTACCAAGCATAATTAGCAATATATTCGTGATAATCAACTCAAATAACCCGTATGGGCCTAGTTTTAGCAAATTCTAAAAGTTCCCGATATTGGGCCACCCAAGCGAAGTGGTCATCTTCAACATGGTTAACATATCATAAACTAGGACCTAGCCAAGATTTTATTCATCCCATTTTAAGCTTACGTGGTTGTGCTCCAACAACTGCTGCGCATACGAAGGAAGACGAATTCAGCCCTAAACACTTCTGCAAAAAAAAAACGAGATTTTGGCTATCGAACTGTATATTGTTCGCTAAATCTCTTTTTGGAG